ATTTATTTATTTGACAGAGAGAGACACAGCAAGAGAAGGAACACAAGCAGGGGGAGTGGGAGAGGGAGAAGCAGGCTTCCCACGGAGCAGGGAGCCCGATGCGGGACTCGATCCCAGGACCCTGGGATCATGACCTGAGCCAAAGGCAGACGCTTAACGACTGAGCCACCCAGGCGTCCCTAATCAAATTTTAATATTGGAGAATATTGGGTGAAATTTTGTTATGGTTAAAGCTGAGTCATTCTCAGAAAAATACAATCAGCAAATTATTTTTCTTTTGGTTTATATTTATAGTCAGGACCAGTTAGTTTTTAGGTCCAGCTCAATTTTGCCTTTATGAGAAGTTACCAGATATGTTTGCAAAATTTGGCTCCCTTCTTGGAAATAACACTTGAGGGACTAAAATTACAATTATGGTGTACATCTTTTCCCAAAGGCCACAACAGTTTCCTTTTAAGAGTTTAGAGAGTAGCTTTAGGAGCCTTTCATTAATTGATTCAACAAATATTTGTTGCATATTTTTTATGTGCAAGGAAATAGCAAGCTTGGATTCATATCCTAGCTCTGAACTTCTTAATTTTGTTTGTGCTATTTTACTTTGACCAACATTTTACCAACATATAATTTATTGTCCATTTGCTATCTATAACGTATGAACTTGTTACACACATGATAATTGTGAATATTTCACTTTTAGTTTGACATGCCAATTAGCAAAATAAACTACCTATTATAGATTAATGTACTGTATTGTATGCATGGATGTTTATTTTTCAGGTGAAAAGGTCAACGTATTAGAGAAAGAAAGTAGTAAGTATGGATAAATTGTTTAAATAATAAAATCTTTGGTGAAATACTTCATTGTAACATTTTTATTTAAAAAACTTTTTTTTGTCTTTTAGAGACCTTTTTAAATTTTTTTAAGGTTTTATTTATTTATTTAGCAGAGAGAGACACAGCGAGAGAGGGAACACAAGCAGGGGGAGTGGGAGAGGGAGGAGCAGGCTTCCTGTGGAGCAGGGAGCCCGATACGGGGCTCGATCCCAGGACCCTGGGATCATGACCTGAGCCGAAGGCAGATGCTTAACGACTGAGCCACCCAGGCGCCCCTAAAGATCTTATTTATTTATTTTATTTGAGAGAGAGAGAGCATGTGCAGGTGTGCATACATTGGGGGGAGGGGCAGAGGGAGAGGGAGAGAGAGAATCTTAAGCAGACTCCACCCTGAACATGGAGCTCCATCTCACAACCCTGAAATCATAACCTGAGCCAAAACCAGGAGTCTGAGGCTGAGTCACCCAGGCGCCCCGTTAGACTATCTTATTAATAGTGAATGTCTAAAAAGTAGGAGTATAAGGGTGATAATAGTTGAATTTATGGTTATAGTAACAAAATAGGCACTCTTTTTGAATAATCAAAGGACACGTGAAGGCTCAAGGATATGCCCAATTCTTAAGGCCCTGCTGCTCCCAAGTTCCAGATTAGCCAGGAACTCAGAGCCTTATGTTGGGGGGGCCGGTGGATCGGCACCGCTGAGGGTGCGCGGACCCGACGGGACGGAGCCGGCGACTCATCGCCGGGTCACAAACGAGGCGACCCAGGAGCGAAACTTCTTACGGCGTTAACCTCCCTTTTGTTGGCTCCAGGAGAGAGTGTGGGCATGGGGGCGGGGAGGCGCGAAGCTCCTAGGCCGGCTCAGGATTCTTTAAAGCCAGCGCTGGGAGGGCCTCGACTTAGGGGCGGCGCCCGCACGGTTAACCTTTGGCTGGGCGGGTCAAGTAGTTCCTTGTGGCCGGCGTTCCGTTAGGAGGGGAGCGCGGCGCGGCGTGGGGAGGAGACCCTGGGCTCTCGATCGCGCTGCCAGGCTCGCTCGCCCGGGTCCACCTCCCCGTGGGCTGGCTCACTACACCGAGCAGAATCCGGCGCGGTCGCATCTTCCCTGTGGCTCCTGGGGCGCCGCGCCGACTTCCCTGTGTGCGGGAGGGAACTCTGGGCAGGCTGGTTTTCTTGGAATGTGTTTACGATGTTGAATGGGACTTGAACAGGAAGCCGGACGCTGCAGTTGGAACTAGCGTGCCGGGATAGAGTAAGGAAGGCGTAGCTGGTGTTGGAGCGTCCGCTTAGCATGTTGGGCAAACCCGTCGTAGGAGCAGGATGTCAGTCAAAGTACCCCTTCGTGGGTCCCAACAGTTTTTCTCAATTGAACTCGCTTTACTTTCACGTGCAATCAGGCATTTTACATGTACGATTTCAGTCTGCAAGTTTGATGAGGTATAATGCATTCCATTAGGAAGTATTTAATTGAGTTCACTTTCGGACCTGCTCTTTAGAAAAGACATGTTGCATCAACACAAGAATAAAAGTTTCTGGGGAGTGTTCTGGTTACGGTTTCACTTGTTAATTTCTAAGAGTGGTAGGAGACCACAATATTGATGATTTTGTGTCTGTGATACCAAATGGATGATAAAGTGCTAAAGGAGGGCGGTATTGAGAGTGAATGTTAGGGGGTAGGAAAGTCTGAGAGGAATTGGAATATTTTCAGATTTGCAAATCGCCCCCTTTCTCTGCCAGTCTTTTCCTCCTTCCCCCACATAAACAAGTAGCCTTGCTAGAAAACCCACCAATTGGGGGAGTGCAGTCGCTGGCGACTCCAAGCCTTGCTGGAAACAGCAGACAGGCGAAGGTACTGGCCCGTTGCATAATTAAAAGGTCTCCTTGAGCTGTCCAGGAGTGTTTTCCAAGTTTTTACGACTGACAAGGAAAGAAGAGAGGAACCTGGCGGGCAGCCAAACCAGACTGGGCTCAGTAGCCAGGCATGAAAGAGACTGGGGAACTTGCAGGGGATAATTGGAAAGGAGCTGTTGGGTACTTGGGTTTAAACAAGGGGTTTCTTTTGCAATGAGAATTTTTAGGTGACTAAGATCAGTCTTCTTGGCAAAAAAATTAAACTAAGCAGAGAGCGCAGTCGGATGTGACAGAGAGTGAAAGAAGTGCTCTAGAAGGGAAGTCTGACCCTCAGTCAGTGTTGCAGTGGAATTGCTGGGGGCCTGATGCTGCTTGTGCTGATCATACTTGTTCATGTTCACATTTTGTTGCCATTTGTCTTCTCAACTTGGACTAGGATTGCTGCAGCTTCAATCCCTTGACCTTGGCCTTTGTTGTTTTCATAGCCAGTAAGAATCGAAGGCTTGGGCCTTGAGCAGATGGTTTGCCACCTAAATTGAATAATTCAGTTAGGTATTCTCAAATGGCACAGATTTGGGTCATGGAGTTAAAGTGGAAAACGTGTTTAGCATGTCTTCCTTGTGTTTGTCAAAAGTGACCCCCATAAGTGGATCTTGCCCTTTCTCTTGAAGGCGTAGAAGTTGGGGTGATCTCACAATTTCACACAGTATTCGCCCAATTCTTAAGGCCCTGCTGCTCCCAAGTTCCAGATTAGCCAGGAACTCAGAGCCTTATCTGCAATTCAGACCCTTCTTTTATGTGTTAAATTTGTGTCCCCATCCTTCCTTCCTTCATTCCCTTCTTTCTTTCCTTCCTTCCTTTTCAGGGAGGTTGGTTTACTGTTGTGAGTTTGGGGGTTGAATGGTACAAAACGCTAATATGGATTGTATTTCCACTGAATTGGTGAGTTTGAGATTGTGACTATCAGTCTACCCTCTGAGACTGACTTTATGAATCACTCTTGGCAAAGTGTTTTCCCTATGATTTCAGTTTTTCCACTTGCAAAGTAAAGAAACTTTACATAATTACAGGTTTACTGTGAGCATTAAAGAGATGAAATTATGTTAATAGGTTTTTAGAAATATAAAGGTCATAGAGTTTCTTACTCAGTTGACTCAATTGAGATTATAGGGGTAAAAGAATAATATTTATATCTAGTATACACATATTATAGTGACATATCTGTATTTAAATAAAACAATTACTAAATCATAGCTTTAGTTTAATAAAATTTTATTTATTTATTTATTTTAAAGGTTTTACTTATTTGTCAGAGAGAGAGAGAGAGAGCACAAGCAGAGGGAGTGGGAGAGGGAGAAGCAGGCTCCCCGCAGAGCAGGGAGCCCGATGCGGGACTCGATCCCAGGACCCTGGGATCATGACCTGAGC